TATTCTATTCTATTCTATTCTATTCTATTCTATTCTATTCTATTCTAGAGGCTAAATGCAAATAAACAGAAGTTAGGAGCTAAAAATCAGCAAGGGAAAGTAGAAACAAGTAAGAATAAAATATCAATAGGCTAGCTAAAAGCTAATAATATCAAAAGACTAGCTTAGAGGCTAAATGTAAATAAACAGAAGTTATGAGCTAAAACGTGCGAGGGAAAGTAGCTGGAAACAGGTAAGAGTAAAAATATCAAAAGGCTTTCTAAAAGCTATAAAGCAATAGATTAGCTAAAGGCTAATTGTATCAAAAGGTTAAAGGATAAAACAATGAGATATAAGCTAAATAGCTAGATGCTAAATATAGAAAAATAGTAGCTTGTAGCCAAAATTAGCAAAGAGCTAAAATATTAATAGGTTAGCTAAAAGCTAAGTTAAGCAATTGGCTGCTAAAACCTAAAACATGAAAAGACCAGCTAGAGGCTAAATGTATCAAAAGGTGTAGTGTCCAAGAGTGGGGGGCCTCTTCTCAGGAATGCACAGATGTGATGTCTCTTGGTTTTTCCAGCTTCAGAGCTCGGCACATATTACCATATTAGGAAGAAGGTATGCCATGACAAAATTTATGGTGCATATGTGAAGCCTATAAAGGGCCTTGTACGCCCCCACCCTTAGCCTTCGTTCTCCATCTTTCTTACTTGTTTAATCATTTGGCATYGAAGGCCACAATTTGKTTTTTGGCTGTAATCTCCTGGACTGCAAAATAAAGATTCTTGCTGTTCAACCAGCCTGTTTCAGAGTTCTCTCTTCATTGAGCAGCAGCAGTTCCACTTCAACCAGAAGACATGGCTATTTTCACCTCAAAGGCTAAAGGATAAAACAATATGAGCTAGAAGTTAAATAGCTAGAGGCTAAAWATAGAAAAATAGTAGCTTGTAGCCAAAATTAGCAAAGAGCTAAAAATATCAATAGGCTAGCTAAAAGCTAATAATATCAAAAGACTAGCTAGAGGCTAAATGTAAATAAACAGGAGTTATGAGCTAAAAGCAGCAAGGGAAAGTAGCTGGAAACAGGTAAGAGTTAAAATATCAAAAACTATAAACAGGTTTCATGTAGGCTTCAGTAAGTTAAATTTAAGACCTTTTATAGACCTTTTAAGACCATTAGGAATGATATTTAAGACCAAACCGACACATTAACAGAAACATTTAAATGGTCCCAGAAACTTAAACATAGAAACATTTAATTTAGCTATTAAAGACTATTTAATTTTAATAGAAGAACACTAAATTATTTTAATGAAATGGACATRTTTAAGACCTTCATACCGACTGTTGTGGACTGTTTCCAACAGAGAGCAAAAACCACTGATATCAAGTCTCATTGAAAACACACTGTTTCACAACGAGCAGTGGACATGACTGAACTGAACAAATCTGTTTTTCATCACCTGCGGCTCAAACATCTGCTATAAAGTTCATGCCTGTGTCTGTTAGTAAAATATCTCACCAATGCCCGCACAGCATCCTAAGCTACAGGAATGTGTCTCTGCTGTTGTGCTGCAGCAGGTGTTAGGTGATGGCACTCCTGACGCCTCGCAGCAGAAAGTAAAGATCAACAGGGAGATCCTGGAGGGGAGGAGGTGCAGCTGCTGGACATCCTGTTGGAGTTTAATCCCACAGAAACAGCTCTGAGTGTTTCTGAGCAGCTGAAGCAGGAAACAAGTGGTTTAAAATAATTAAAATWAAAAAATSAGCTTGTGTTTAATTYACGAAGCAGCACCTTTATTTATACTGATGGATTTTCACACTAAAATCTGAGTCACATTGATTTTAATGTGTCAGATATAAAAAAGGTTTATTTTTTGGTTTTATTTCATGTAAACAAGTTTTCTCCCCACCTGCTTCAATGGTTACATAAAGTGATTCAGCCTGCAGCTCTGCAGGTTCTGGTTCTACGTTTCACAGCCGAACCCTGAGGTTCTGCCTCCTCACTGTTTAAACACAGAGACCCTCTCACACTGATGGACCCAACTGGACCGGCAGCTGGAAGGATTTTACTGCTCTGTAAGGGTGAGCTTTATATCTGCTTTAT